ATCCTTGAAGAAAATACAGGGGTAAAATTCAATTGGCCTTGAGTATGGCAATGAATTTTTAGACATAATATCAAAGGCACAATCTATTACAAGATGATTATTTAGATTTTATTTAAAATAAAAAAGACTCTGCAAAAACTACTATAAATACAATGAGAAGACAAATTACAAACTGGGATAAAATAATTGTAAAAGGCATATCTTATCAAAGACTCATCCAAAATATACAGGGATCTCTTAAAACTCAAAAATTAGAAAACAAATAACTCAGTTAAAAAATGGGTAAAAGACTGGACAAAAAGACATCACCAAAAAGATATACATATAGCAAATAAGCATGTGAAAAAGCTTCACATCATATGTCATTAGGCAATTTCAAATTAAAACGATAATCAATACCATTATCCACCTACTGGAATGGCAAAGATCTGAAAACTGACAACACCAAATGATGACCAGTATTTGGAGTAACAGGAATTTTCATTCACTGCTTCTTTCATTCAGTGCTGTACCATTCAGGTACATCGGCGTTGGAATAGTATTTGGAAGTTTCTTTATAAAATTAAACATGTTCTTTTTGTTATTTATTTATTTTGGGAAAGAGAGAGAAAGCACGAGTAAGGCAAGGGCAGAGATCGAGAGAGAGAGAGAGAGAGAGAGAGAGGGAATCCTGAGCAATTTACTCACTGTCAGTGCAGAGTCCAACACAGGGCTCAAACTTAAAAACTGTGAGATCATGAGTGAGCCAAGTCAGACACTCAACTGACTGAGCCACCCCAGACACCCCAAATAAAACATATTCTTAACATAAGATCCAGAAAATACGTTTCTTGATATTTACTTAAATGAGTTAAAAGCCTAAGCCCATAAAACACTGGAACACAGATACTTAGAGTAGATTTATTTATTATTGCCATAACTTAGGAGCAACCAAGATGACCTTCAATCAGTGAATGGAAAAATAAATTGTACATCCAGTTAGTGGAATATTTTCAGCACTAAATAAGAAAATGATATATCAAGCCATGAAAATACATTGAGGAAACTTAAATCATATTGCTAAGTGAAAGAAGCCAATCTGAAAAGACAACATGCTGTATATATATTCCAATTATATGACACTTTGAAAAAGGCAAACTACAGAGACAGTAAAAGGATCAGTGGTTATCAGAGGTTAAGGGACAAAGAGGGATAAATACAAGAAATAGAGAGAATTTTTAGGGCTGTGAAACTATTTTGTATGATACTATTGTAGTGAATACATATCATTATATATCTGTCAAAACCCATAGAATGTAGAACACCAAGAGTGAATCCTAATGAATGATAATGATGTTTTAATGTGGGTCATAAACTGTTACAAATGTACCATATTGTTGTAGGATTTTGGTAGTGGAGGAGGCTAAGCATATGTGGGAACAGGAGTTATTTAGGAAATCTCTGTATGTTCTGATTAATTTTACTATGAACCTAAAATTTCCTTAAAAATAAAATCTCTTAAAACTTATAAATAAAAATCACTCACTATTTGAGTTTTGCTTTAGACAGAATGCCTAAACTGAAATGGTGCAAAATAAGCTGAAGGAATTATGTTGCATTCATTTGATGTCAGAAAAAGGATTTTGGTTTTTATTCTATAAATGAGGAACCACTGAAGAAACAATTGTGAAATGGCCTTCTCTAAGGTGAATAAAGTCCTCAATGTGAGTGTAAGTCTATGAATCCCAGACTCAAGGTTTAACTCATTTAGAAAGGGATTAACTTTTATTTACTTAAATTTTTTTAAGTTTAGTTATTTCTTTTGAGAGTGAGAGAGAGAGAATGTGCACAGGTAGGAGAGAAGGAGAAAGAGAATCCCAAGCATGCCCAAGGCTCAGTGTGGAGCCCAACACAGGTATTGATCCCACAACCCAGAGATCTCTATCTGAGCTGATATCAAGAGTCAGATGCTTAACCTACTGAGACACCCAAGCACCTCAGAATTAACTTTTAATAATACATTTTTTTAGAATGAATTTCAGAAAGAGGATTTACCTTGCTTCATTGACAATAATTGTGTCACATATCAGTCGATAAAAACTTTTTGAATAATGCTTAAGAAAGTTAATCTGTGAATAGTATTTTTAATATTTTTCCTCAAGAATTATTAGGTATACATGAGATTTTAGAAAATTAGAGCTAAATAACCTCTTTAGAAATCATACTAGCAGGGTGCCTGGGTGGCTCAATATGTTAAACATCTGACTTTGGCTCAGGTCATGATTCCATGGTCCATGGGTTTGAGCCCTGCATTGGGCTCTGTGCTGACATCTAGCTCAGAGCCTGGATCCTGCTTCAGGTTCTGTATCTCCCTCTCTCTCTGACCCTCCCCTGCTCACGCTGTCTCTCTCTCTCTTTCTCTCTCTCTCTCTCTCAGAAATAAATAAAACATTTAAAAATTTAAAAAAAAGAAATCATACTAGCTATTTACATAACATAAATATATATAACATATTTACCTAACTGGAAGCTTATTAGTAGTTTAGAAAATTGAACTACTTTAAACTATTACATGGTACATATAGTAGGCATTTGCTAAATAGCTACTGATTGTTTAATTGGAAAACCAAACCAATTAAGAAGGAAGCACTATTTCATAATCCATCAGTGGAAGAAAGATATATATCTATCATCTTAGATTTTAAGTTATTTCATAATTGGTAGATTATTTCATTGTTAAAGGATTGCAATCTGTTTTCTTCAACTAAATTTACATTTAATTTAGCCTTATAAATAAGGCATTAAATTGTAAATGATTCAATTTCTATTCCATCAACCCAATTGATATTAACTATCTATACTAGAGACATTCGCTTTGTGAGTTCTACAAAACAAAACAAAACAAACAAAACAATTTGGTGTGCCTAAGGCATGATATCATTACAGAGTCACTTGTTACTTCAAGGCCCTAGTCATCTCAATCAAATGGAAAAGAAAGTTCTTTTAAAAATTGTTGGTTGATAAAGACTGGTACCATTTGATTATTTATATTTTAATTTAATTGTTTAAAAAATTATTTAAATAATTTAAATTTAATTAAATACACCATTTAAATAATTTATAATAATTTATTATTTAAATAATTTTTGCTTATATGGTGTAAAAACATGGAACAGAATGCAAAATAATAGTTCTTCATGTATAGCTAGAATGTCATTATATAGATAAATTTTTTATTTTTATTTTTATTTTTAAACAACCAAATTGCCATGTGCACAGAAAATATAGAGTGTAACATGGCAAAATATACAACCTATAATAATGTTGTCATCCAATGTTAAAGTTTGTAAAAAGTTTGCTATACCTGAAAATAGTCCATGAAGAGTAACATGTAGATCAAAAAATTAACTTACTGAATAATCTGAACCTAACGGCTAACTAGACATAACCTCCATCCCCCTTTGTTCAAGTGGAGATTTGGCTGCTTTGCTAGACTGTGCTGGAGATCCCTTCATTTCTTACTGTTGTAAGCCTATCCTTTCTCAATAAAAACTTAAAAAAAGATAAAAAATTTCACAGAGGGGAACTATTTGGCAGACGGATATATACAGGTGTCTTGTGTCTCTGCTTAAAATTTTTAATCAAATTCTTAAGGTTAAATTATAAGAGTCCATAGTACATTAAGTATCGAAGATTGGATTTTTTAATTTATCTATTCTAAGCTCCAGATTCTTCATAAAGACTCTATTTAAGAATAAATTTTATTTCCTTGACACTTGAATTCGTTTCTGCTTAATCACCTATTCAAACACATCAACTGAGGATCTAAAATATTTATTTTGTGTGTGTTATTTTCAATAGTCTAGAGCAACTTAGTTCCATTAATTTAGCATTTTAAACATAAATTTTACTGCCTGAAAATGACTTAGTGAGTAATGGAACTGTCTGATGTAGCTGGAAATTTGGCTTTTCTTTCATTATTCATATGTGATGTGGTATTCCAGCAATTCTTGTTTATACATTTCAAACTTACTTACACATAATGAGGAAATGTTTTATGTTCATCTCAGAGTCTGTATACTGAGATGATGGAGAGGAGAGGTGAAGAGGTTGAGAGGGAAACACCAATTTCTATTTTTCTGTCTGAGGATGGAAGCATTCATCATATAGCACTAGGAGATCTATTACTATGTCACACATGAGACTACTGCCCCCTTCAAAATGTTAGAGCATCTAGGAAAACATTACATTGTAAAAGAAAGAGAAACTGCTTTAGGGGCATGGACTTTTGATGAGACTTTTATATGACAAATGTTTGAAGATGGTAAACATTTTGACATGCAGGGAATTAAGCATATAATTGAGACATTTTGGTAATAATTGATTCAAACAAAACAAAATAAATACTGGTATCATTGGCCAGCAGTAGTTCACTGAGTTGTGGTTAAACTATTCTTGTTTTAAAAAAACAAAAAAAGCCTAATATGAATGTGAGAAACCAATTGGCATTTTTCACTAATCCATAAACATCACCAGATGGATTCAATTATATCTCATGTTGTAGGATGTATTCTTGAAGTCTCAGTGTATTATAAGCAAATTAAACCTGAGGCCATGGGAGAAAGGTTATCAGTCTTGGTGCCTGGGTGGCTCAGTGATTGAAAGTCTGATTGTTGATTTCAGCTCAGGTCCTGATCTTAGGGTCATGGGATTGAGCCCTGTATTGGGCTCAGGCTGAGCATGAGCCTGCTTAAGATTCTCTCTTTTCTCTCTTTCTGACTCTCTACTCCACTCACACATGCTCTCTCTCTATCTAAAGATAAATAATAAATTTAAAAAGAAAGTTTATCAGACTAAAGAAATATGCTCAATTTATATGTTCTGTTAAATCATACAGCAAATCAAAAGAGAAAAAGTGGGTTAAAAAAAACCTTACAAAATAGAGCAAGCAGAATGGAAGACCACAGATCTAGTGTTACAGAGTGTTTATATATCCTTTCCTCTATCTATCATATCAGGCTTCCTTGCTCGTGGGGTTCCAGGAACCTGAGTCTAGGCTTTACTGAACAAGAGGTTCAGTAAAAGCCCCGAAGGCAACACTCACTTTATACAGCAGACAAGCCAAGGTCCAGTGACTCCTGGCCAGTAGATGGAACTCACTGACAACTTGCCAAACATCCCTGGATTTTATTGGCATACATATCTCAGGTAAGAGATAAAATGGGGCCAGAATGAGCATCAGCAAAGTTTGATGAATATTTAGTGTTCCATGACTATTTAATATTTGCTTGATACTTTTCTCCCTTCCCATCTATGTTTGACACACTTAGGCTTAACTTACTATATATGTCTAACAATTCTCACAAACTACTTATTATCTATTCTAAGTTTTATTTATCATCCCAATTTGTTTCTTCTATCTTTCATAAGAGAACTTACTAATCTTAAATAATGCAACAATAATGCCATTTTAGGTTGGAATAGCAAAATTTCCATGATGTTCATGTGAATTAATCATGTAGTAAAAATGTGGATGTTTTCTGTTATAACTCAAAGCTTACTATAAGTACTTTTGAAGTTCTTGTAGAATTCTCGGGCTTTCCAGGTGGATTCTCTCCCATAACCTATCCCCTTCATATAATTCATGTAGTCAAAGGCTAGAAGCATAATGAACAGATCATGCAATAGAATATTTCTTCTCTTTCTGCTCTTCTCCATCTCTTCCCCTTCTACCTCCTCCTCTCCCTCTCCTTCCTCTTTCTTCCCCTCATCTACTTAACTTCATCCTCCCTCCTTCCTGCTAATTTTAATATGGAAAATTGTGGTTAAATACTGCAAACCATTTACCTATTAATCTTCTATGCAACTAAAACATATCTTACTTCGTATAAGTAATAGGAAATAGAAACCCACTAAGTACTAACTGATTAAAGTTATTTCCCCTAATTGAGAAGCAGAACACTGTTTAAATTCTGATTTCTTCCTTCTGACTTCAGGTAGGTGTTGTTAAGGGTCTCTTCATTAGTATATCTTTTCTTCTTTGTCTTTTCTTTTGGTTTTAAAAGTTCTAGTGTAATTAACACACAATGTTATATTAGTTTTAGGTGGTAAAATATACAGTGATTCAACAATTCTGTATATTATTTAGTGCTCATCACTCTTAATCCCCTACTTCGCCCATCCCCCTACCTATTTCACTTCTGGTAACCACTGACTTGTTCTGTATATTTAAGACTCTGTTTTGTGGCTTGTCTCTTCTTCCTTTGTTCATTTGACTTTTTCTTAAATTTCATATATGAGGAAAATCAAATGATATTTGCCTTTCTCTGATTGACTTATTTCACTTAGCATTATACCCTCTAGATGCTTCCATGCTGTTGCAAATGGGAAAAATAAATCATTCTTTTTATGGCAGAGAAATTTTTCTTTATGTATATATACTACTTCTGTATCCATTAATCTGTGGATAGACAGTAAGTTGTTTCCAAAATTTGAATACTCTACACTGTAAAAAAACATCAGGGTGTACATATTTTCTCAAATAAGTGTTTTAATAGTCTCTGATTAAATACCCAATAGTGGAATTACTGGATCATATGGTATTTCTATTTTTAACTTTTTGAGAAAACTCCATAGTGTTTTCAACAGTGGCTGCACCAGCTTGCATTCCCACCAACAGTGCACAATGGTTCCTTTATCTCCACATCCTCCCCAAGACTTGTTATTTCTTACAGTTTTAGTCATTCTGACAGGTGTGAGGTGGTATCTCATTGTGGTTTTGATTTACACTCCCCTGATGATGAGTGATGTTGAGTATTTTCTCATGCATCTGTTGGCCATCTGTCTTCTTTAAAGAAATGTTGTTCATATCTTATGCCCATATTTTAATTGGAGTATTTTTTTTGATGTTGAGTTGCATAAGTTCTTTACATATTTTGGGTATTAACCTCTTATCAGACATATCATTCAGAAATATATTCTCCTATTCAGTATATTGTTTTTGTTTTGTTGATTGTTTCCTTCACTGAAGGAAAGAAGCTTTTTATTTTGATGAAGTCTCAATAGTTTATTGTTGCTTTGTTTCCTTTGCCTTAGAAAACATATCTAGAAAAAAAATGTTTCTAGGGCCAATGTCCACGAAATTACTACCTGTGCTGTCTTCTAGGATTTTCATGGTCAGGACTCACACTTAAGTCTTTATCCATTTTGAGCTTCTTTCTGTGTATGCCAGAAGAAAGTGGTCCAGTTTGCATAGAGCTGTCCAATTTTTCCAACACTATTTGTTGAAAATACTTTTCCCCATTCTATGTTCTTGCCTCTTTTGTCATAGGTTAACTGACCATATAAATTGGGATTATTTCTAGGTTCTCTATGCTGTTTCATTGAGCTATTTTTGTGTTGGTACCATATTATATTGATTAATATATTTTTGTTGTATATCTTGAAATCTGGGATTTGTGATACCTCTTGTTTTTTTTCAAAATCACTTTGGCTATTTTGGGGTCGTTTGTGAATCCATACAAATTTTAGGATTATTTGTTCTAGTTTTGTGAAAAAAATCTGTTGGTATTTTGATAGGGATTGAATTAAATCCTTGAATTATTTGGATAAGATGGACATTTTAACAATATTTTTTCTCATAATTCATAAGAATGAAATGTCTTACAATTTCTTTGTGTTGTCTTCAATTTCTTTCATCAATGTCTTATAGTTTTCAGAGTACAAGTTTTTTACCTCGTTGGTTAAGTTTATGCAATTGTAAATGGGACTGTTTTCTTAATTTCTCTTTCTGCTACTTCATTATTAGTGTAGAGAAATGCAATGGGTTTCTGTATTTTGATTTTGTATCCTATGACCTTACAGAATTCATTTATAAGTCTAGTATTTTTGGGTAAAGTATTTAGGTTTTTTTCTATATAGTTTCATTTCATCCTCACATAGTGAAAGTATTTCTTCTTCCATACTGATTTGGCTGCCTTTTATTTCTTTTTGTTGTCTGATTGCTGTGACTAGGACTTCCAGTACTATGTTGAATAAAAGGTGAGAGTGGACATCCTTGTCTTGTTGCTGATCTTATGGGAAAACCCCACACTTTTTCACCATTGAGCGTGATGCTAGCTGTGTGTTTTTCATATGTGGCCTTTATTATGTTCAAGTAATGCTTCCTCTAAATCTATTTTGTTGAGTTTGTTGTTGTTGCTGGAATTTTTTTATGATGAATTGATATCGTACTTTGTCAAATGACTTTTCTGCATCTATTGAAAAGATTATATGGTTTTTATACTTTCTCTTGTTGATGTGATGTGTCTTGTTGATTGATTTGTGAATACTGAACAACCTGTGCGTCTCAGGAATAAATTCTACTTGATTGTGGTGAATGATTTTTTTAAATATTTTGTTGGATTCAATTTGCTAATATTTTGTTGAGAAATTTTGCATCTATTATTTGCATCTATTGTCACAAAATTGTCATCTATTGATCAACAAAACTGATAAATCTTTAGCTAGATATATAAAAACAAAAAACAGAAAACAAAAGACAAACAGGAGAGGGGACAAGTGAATAAATAAAATCAGAAATTAAAGAGAAGTAAGAACTAACACCAGGTATTATAAGAGAATATTATGAAAATTAAATGCTAACAAATTAGAAAACCTAGAAGAAATGAATAAATTCTTTTCCCTTCCATTTGCCTGATAAATGCTTTTTTTAATTTTTAAAATTTTTAATTTTATTTTTTTCTAAATAGTTTATTGTCTGATAACTGCTTTTTCATGCCTTTACTTTCAATCTGCATGGGTCTATAGATCTGAAGTGAGTCTCTTTTAAGCAGCATATAGGTGTGTCTTGCTATTTATCCATCCTATCACCCTATATCTTTTGATTGGAGTATTTAAGCCATTTACATTCAAATTATTAATAGGTATGTACTTCCTCTAGTCTACTATATACTCCCTCTAGTGTTTTTTTAATTTCAGTTATTGAGTTATTCATCACTGATTGGTTCTTTTTTATGTTTTTTACCTCTTTGTTGAAGGTCTCACTGAGATCCTTCACTTTTCTCAAGCCCACTGAGTGTCTTTATGATCATTTACTTTACATTGTCTACCAGGCATATTATTTATCTCTGTTTCACTTAAGTCTCTTGCTGTGGTTTTGTCCTGTTCTTTCATCTGGAATATATTCCTCTGTCTCCTCATTTTGTCTAACTCTTCATGTCTGCTTCTGTGTTTTAGGAAAGTCAGCATATCTCCTGCTTTTGAAGAGAATGGCCTTATGAAGAAGAGGTCCTGCAGTGCCCTGAAGTGCAATATGCCCTGTTGCTCATAACCTGGTGTTTCAATGGTTCTATTATGTGTGTTTTGTGCACCCTACTGTTGTGGCTGAGCCACATCTGTATTTAGTCCAGTCATCTCTAATGGATCTCTTTGGTTGGTGTGGGCAGGGTTTGGTTCCTGTATCATTAATGAGCCAATCTGGGGACTCCTTGGGCTTGAATTGGATCAGACCAGTCATTTGCCCTTACTGCGGTTGCATCAAACTTCAGGGTGCCCTCCCTGTTTTGTGCCCTGAGAAGCTTTTGTAGGTGGGTGGGTCCTGCAGCCAGATCAGACTAAATGTCTGACCCCAGCTTACTGCTGGGACCACAGTTGAACCAGTTCTTGTGGTTATACTTTCCTCTCCTCAGGGTATGAGTCATTTTGGAGTGTTGCTGCCTGAAACTTCCAGGCTTGTGGTGCTACTTTAGATGGACTCCTGCTGAGGGCCTGTTGGATGAGGTGGTCCACAGGAAGACGACTATGGTAGAGTACGTGGTATTAGTAAGGCTTGCACTCGTCTGCTCTGAGAGGAGACCTGTAGCCACTTCAAAGAATTGCCCCATTTGGGTTGCAGGAGGTGGGTCCACAGGAAAGTGCAGGGCTGAGATATGCTGCTGTGTTAACAAGCTATGTGGAGAGAGTTCCTGCTGGCCTGGTTACAGCAAGTGTCCATGGATCTAGGCTGTGGGTTGAGGCTAGGGAAATGGCATTCACCAGCTTTTTTGTTTTTGGAGAACTCTCTTGAAGATCCCTGCCCCTCCACCACATGTTCTGAATTTAGTAAATAAGTCTTCCTGTATAACCCAGGCATTTTTCAACCTGCTCTTTCTTAGCTATATCTTAGCATGGCTGTTTTTTGTCTCTTTAAGGGCAGGGATTAAGTTTCCTATCACCCTCAAACTCTCCCAGAGCCAACCCTGATGTTTTTTAAAGTTCATGTGTTAAGTTTCACTAGTTATAAGAACTCATTATGTTAAGTCCCTGTGGTTTTCACAGCCAACTGTTATAGAGATTCATCTTCCCAGTTTCGTCTCCCATGCTTAGAATGTGTAGCATAGCCTTCTCCATGCCTTTGGGGTCCATCCCTCCCATGAACAGTCTCCCAAGAAGATCATGTCTTCACCTTTTTTACCCTTTTTCATGTGGCGCCTTCTCCACATTTAGCTATGGAGATCTGTTCTGCCAGGCTTTAAGTCATTTTCTGGGTTATTTAACTAATGTGGGTGATATTTAGGAGTATCTGTGGGATGAGGTGAGCTATGATTCTCTTACTCCACCTTCTTCCTTGGAAGTTGTTAATTCAGTTTTTGATATGGTCAAACTTATACAAATCTGTCTGAGGATAAAATGTATATAAGTAGTAAGAGGCACCAAAGTTAGTATTAACCTATTAAAGAACGGGTTGAAAATAAATAATAAAAATTAATATATTCTCTACACAATAGATTCTTAGATATATATTAACATAGTTAATTAACATGTTGTTTAAAAAGATAAGGCAGACCAAAACATATTAGGAAAAGTATATGCTTCTCTACCTTTGAGGGTAGATATAGTAATTTCTTAATTTTACACACTAGGAAAGGAGTATAAAAAAACATAAATACTATGCAGATTTGTCCTTTATATTTAAACAATGAGCCTCCTTTCTTATTTGACTTTTTTGGTACATGTTTTATATTTAACCATAAATAAAGAATGAAAGTGACCTTATTACTTGGAGCCTTTTGTATTACCTGCATAATTTTAATTATTAAACACTTGAATTGAAATATATAAATATAAGCGTATAAATTAAACATTAATTGAAATGTTTATAAAATATGTTAAATAGATATTTATAAGTGTCAGGATCATCAAAAACATAGGAATCTATGAAGAACTTTCATATATACTAGATAAATGAGTAAACTGCAATAACTTCAGCTGAGGTTGAGGGTATACATTTTTAATACTGCCAAGAGACACAAGATGACCTTCTCTTTATAAGCACTCCTCTTTAGACAACAATATTCAATAGAAGTAAATCTGAACTTCCATCTTCACCAAGTATTCACTCAAGACAGATGCTCACATATCAACACCACTAAATGAATTAATTTCTTAACATGGAGTGAGTTGTGGATTTTATTTCTTAAATAAGTACTGCACGTGTTTGAAATTATTTTTCATATTTAATTAGCTTGTTTCCATTTTGCTTTTACTGGACAAGATGATCTTTGTTTTTTAAAAAATTAGTCATACCTATCCCCAATGAAACATTACACCTCTAAAACCCTTTTTAGTTGAGATATAAAACATTGACATTACAACTATTATGATAATGGTAAACAACAGCAGTCTCCTGCTCCGTTACTTATTATTAGTCAACTAAAGCATAGACTTCATGTATGCTAATTAGCAGCCACACAAAAAATTTAAATTTGTGCTTCAGGAGTAGAATGCTTGATTAAGTTACAAAAGCCAGTTTGCAATTAATTATATTCAGTCTGCTCTGTGGTATTCATTTATTTGCCAAAGGTTAAATAAAACTGGTTGACTAGATTATGACCAACTTGAAGCTCAAAACAGATAAATATCTTCCTAAGTGAGAAGGGTGTCCAGTGTTCTTTCTAATTATATTATATCATAATTTAATTTTATATAACCAATTTGAAATAAGGCAAAGTTTAGTTCTTTTGAACATATCTATAAAATCTAGCACATGTTTTGTAGTAAATATATACTGGAAATTGAGGAAAAGAAGGGAAGAATGAAAGGAAGGAAAGAGGGGGGAAAGAGAGAAGAGAGAAAATCAAGAAAAAATGAATCAAGTTGAATGAATGACATTTGATCATTTGGTCCTCTTGAAATGTCTTCTAATAAATTAATAAATTAACAGCAAGAATGTTGGATTCCAGATCTAGTCCTATGTTCTAGATGTAACCTGTCTTAAAGTATTTATATAATATTGTGCAAGTTGCTTTACCTTTCCTGAATTGAACTTACTGAGTTTCCAGATCGTTCAGGTATGGCCTGAAACTCAATGTAGGATTTTATCTTTCCTTTCAAAGCTAACCCACATCTTGTACTTTTCTATTAATGAATTATTATCTGTAGTAGTTTACAAAAAAAAAAAGCTGCAATTTTTCTCTCTTAATCAGTAACCCTGGTTGATATGACATTGTATCTTCTTTCATCATAACTTTCAGTTATAAAATAAATAAGTCATTGGGATGAAATTACAGCATAGGGAATTTGGTCAATGATATTGTAAAATCTTTGTATGGTGACAGAAAGTCACTATACTTACTATGATAAGCATTGCATAATGTATATGATTGTCAAATCACTATGTTGTGCACCTTAAGCTAATATAGCATTGTATGCCACCTATACTTCATTTAAAAAAAAAAGACTTTATTCCTACTTTTTTACTTTTTGTTTGTTTGTTTGGTCTTGTGACTTACTTTGGCTAAAGAAATGTGGTAGAAGTAACTGTGTGCTACTTCTGAGCCCAAGTTTTAACATGCTTCTGTTAATTGTTTTTAGAACCCTGCCTAGACTCCATGTGAAAAAGCCTTGTCTGATTTACTGAAGGAGTAGGTACTACATGGAGCAGAGACCATGCTTCCCAGCTCGGAGCATAGTAGATTAGCCAGTCTCCAGCTGACCCAGCAGGTGACTGAAAATACAGTAGCAAACCCAGCTAACATTAGCTAAGCTTGGCTCAGTTCAGCAAAAATGGCTGGTTAGCCAAGATATCCATTAACAATAATAAATTACTGTGGTTTTTTTTTTAAGTTATTTAGTTTTGGTGTATTTTTTCTGAAACATGAAACCATTCTTTCCCCTTTTCTTCCTTTTGGTCTCTACAAATTAGTAACCAACCGCTCTTGATTTTAATTAAAAAGTCTTTCAAATACAGTCCTTTGCATTCCTCTGACATTCTCCTAATTCTAGGCTTCCAATGGTGGTATCAATAACTTCTTACCAGTTTTCTGCTTCATCCTATTCCTTCTCTAATCTAGTCTTTTAAATAGTATTTGAATCTATGGATCTATGTGATCCCTTTCCTTAAAAAGTGTTCATTGATTCTCTTTCTATATAACAAAGTAAATAATTGCAAATTCCTTAAAATGGTATATAAAGCCCTTCCTGTTTTTATTTCCCTCTCTTACTGGACATATAATTTATTACTGTTATGAATATTTCATATTCCCACAAACAAAATCTATCTTTACAATCACAATTCTAAGCCACTACTTATGTTCTTTTTTACCTGATCCCATATCTGCCTTGTCTGTCAACCTTTTACTTATCCTTCAACATTTATCTTAGATAGCATTTGCCCTGAGTAGTTTCCCTGGTTTCTTTAAAATAGAATGAATTATACTTTCTTTGAACTTCCATAGCATGTCTTTCAAACTAAGAACTTCTTGTACTTTATTTCATTCACTGAATTAAATAAATGCAGAGATTCAACTTCAATCACCTTTTAAGTATCAAAAACAAACACAGTGTCTTGCATTAACATGCACTTAATTGTCTTTTTTTTTTTTTTAATGTTTTATTTATTTCTAGGAGAGAGAGAGAGAGACAGCATGAGCAGAGGAGGGTCAGAGAGAGAGGGAGTCACAGATTGAAACAGGCTCCAGGCTCTGAGCCGGCAGTCAGCACATAGCCCGACGCGGGGCTTGAACCCACGAACCGCGAGATCATGACCTAAGGGAAAGTCGGACACCCAACCGACTAAGCCACCCAGGTGCCCCTGCACTTAATTGTCTTAAAAAAGTTTTATTTACACTTTATATTAGTGTAATTGAACATTATGAGGTTGATAAAATTTTCTCCAGGACTTGTTTTGAGTGAATTTGGTTTCATGTTACTTTTATAATTGCAAAACATTTCACAGTTTCAGAAAATTATAGTCAAGAAATACTACTAATATTGTATGTTGCTATTACTCAAAGTAAAACATGTGTGGGTACCAGGCTATAATATTCATTAGAAGCAGAGTTTAATAACAAAGATTAATTTATGTTATTTTTTATGCTGTAGGTAAAATGATAAACCATAAGATCTTGCCTCACAGGATGACATCCTGTAGATCTTATGGCATATGAAAGGTCTATTTCTTTTAGCTGATTTTCTGCTGAATTCAGATAAATCATCACTACAGTATTACTTTCCTTCATGTAGGTAGCAAAAATTGTTCTAATTTTTCAAATCACTTATTCTCAAAGAAAGTAGTTTTATTTAAATGATTTATGAAATAAACCATGTTTCTTTTCTTCCATGTTTGCTTTTTTCTTTGCTTTTTTTTCTTGTCTTCTCTCATCTTCTTTCTTTTAACTTTGTTTACCAAGAATACTCAAGCTTCTAGTTAATTTTCAGAAACTCAAGATATTCTCAAGTGGTTTTTCATTCTCAAACTCTATTTCTTTCATACTAGTTATTTTCTGCCCATAGTTTTAATGCATATAATTTTTAAGAGAAATAATTGCTTCAGAAGTCTGATTTCAATAGCTGTAACTCATATCCATTGATCTTTGTTAATATGACTTATCACTAGTTGTTTCTAATTTTACAGCTGTGGATTAAATTGAAGTTTTAAAATATCAGTATCATTTTCACTGAGAATATGAGTGTGTTCTAAAGCAGAAAATAAAATATTTAAATACTCAGTATATATTAAAGTTATCATCCTGAACGTCAGTTTTTTTTCTTAAGTTACTACAAACAGTTGGGTCTTATATTGATGAGGAAATTGTCCACAGTTCTAAAAGCAAATCACATTTGTTATTTTTTAAATTTACTTTAGAAAAAAAATTAACCTGTTTTTAAAAGAACTAGAATTCAAGATTAAATTATGGAGGGAAATAATATAATTCAGTTAAGAGCTACTGAAAACATATTTAAAATAAAATTAATGTCATAGGCAATTAGATGAAAGCAATGCAGAAGACAGTGATTCAAACTTTTATAGATTCTTATTGACATACAACTACATCAAATTTGTTAAATATTCAATTCTGAAAATCATGTATTTCCCTTTACCCACAGCCCCTACTTAAGCAAAGTGAAACCAAAATTCTTGGTGATTTTATAATCAGTAAAAAAGCAATATGGATTAATAATAACTGATGACTTAATTTTTTCAGAGAAAAATATGTTGTGAGTTCTAGTTAAGTTATTTTTTAAATATCTTTAGTATGATTATCCAATACATTTACATAAGATTCAAATCAAGATCCCATTAATTATTTTTCTGTTAATCTGATAATAGTGTTTCAGAAGCACATTTTCATGTGAAGGCTGATGTTTTAACGTATTTTTATAAAGCATAAAATAATGTTACATATCTCTTTGGCTTTTTATCTTCCATAATTAATGTGAAGGTTTTTTTAAAAACATTTTTTTAATTTAGTTTTGAGAGAGAGAGACAGCATGAACAGGGGAGAGTCAGAGAGAGAGTGAGACACAGAATCTGAAACAGGCTCCAGGCTCTGAGCTGGCAGCACAGGGCCTGACATGGGGCTCGAACCCACAAACTGTGAGATCATAACCTGAGCCTAAGTCAGACACTTAACCGACTGAGCCACCCAGGTGCCCCATTAATGTGAAGATTTTTAAGGAGAAAGGCACTCCAATTCAATTGAATTATACTAAAATTACTTAACTCTGTTAAGTTCCTCCTAATCCTCCTATACGTGCAAATATATTCTATTTGT